TATTATTATAAACATTATATTGTTTATAGTTATTAAATTTACTTTATTGGTTTTCTGTTTTAATTAAATAATTTATATAAATTAATAATTACTTGTTCCTTTATATCAAATATCTTACATACCTTATATATAATGCACTGAAGATGAGTTATTTATAACTCGAAATAGCTATTTGCAAATTTATTTAATAAAAATTTTTTGAAAAAACAATAAAATGTCTAATTTCTCGGAAATTAATAAATTAAAAAGAAATATGAAAAAGTTGAACAATGTTGAAAGTAGTGTTGAATTTTTGAAATATATATATATATATATATATATTTACAATATTCTATAAATTCTACCGAATGTTTGGCGTTAATATGTTTGTAGTTCGTAAAAATTATGGTCTATTACCAACATATATATATATATATATATATATATATATATATATATATATATATATATATATATATATATATATGTTATACATCAAGTGATTGATAGGCATATAGGGTTGGAATCCTGGAATAATTATATATGTTGTTAGTTAGTATCACCGAGTATCATGATACATATAGTTGGTGATTTTATAGTAGTTAAAAAATTAAAACGGTGCAGTTCAAATCTATATCATTACCAATATTATTTTAAGATATAATTTAACGATAATGGTGAACATTAAAAGGTTCTTGATGAAAGGTTTAATATGATAAGCACGTGGTGTTGGGTTGGGAATAGTTATTTCACATTTCGTGTTAGCATGCTATCTGGTTTTGGTTCGAATTTACTGAAAGGATCGTTAAAAAGTTTTTAAAATTGCTAACTGATGGTTCAAAACTAAACCTTATATAAACCGTATTATTTGTGTGTAGCTCTTAATACTTTGAAATAATAAATCATTAATAAACTTTACTATTTTAATAAATATTTTTTTTATAAAAACAAGAATAATAACTTATTTGAGATCGAACATATCTAGAAATAGACTGAAGGATTTGTCAGTTTTGTCAATAGAAAATGATAAAGTTCTTTGTTATATACCTTACGAAGAAATTGTAAAATTTGAATTTTATTATATAATCAAATAAGCCAATCAATTTTGAAAAGTTATATCTTAACATTAAATTTTTGAAATAAAAAAAATCCTTATTCATTTTACATATTCATGTAAAACAATAATTTTCATGAGGATCCTTGAAAAAAAAATTAAATTATTTAGCGTTATTAATATAAATTAACTTTTACACCTATCTACGGCGTATCCAATACTCTCTATTTACATTACTGGCGGGAGAAGCACCAAGACATCTAAGACAATTAAAATTGACACTAAATTATCTCTTGAAGATCAAAACCCAAATCAATAATCCGGCTTACAAACATATCATGTTAACATCAAATAACTCGACTAGACAACCAACAAAAGCAATCCCTACAATAAATAAAAGAGTTGAAAAGCATCTAGAAAAAATAGGGGAAATAAAAATAATGCGGGAAATAGAGGCAGAAGTGGCACCCTGGGCTAGGAAAACACCTCTCAATAAACGAAATCGACAAAAACCCAAATTTATGCAAAGTCATATAACATGAAATAATAGACAAAAGCCCCAAAAGCATAGCAATATATACAGATGGATCAAAAATGGGAAATTCTACATCATTAGCAGTTGTCATCCCCACCATAAAGGAAACATTATTCCAACATATACCAACCTATGCATCAATATTCACAGCAGAGTTAGCAGCAATAAAAATGGCCCTCAATCATACCATAAATGAGACCAACAAGGAATACATGATTTTTGCTGACTCGCTATCCAGTTTGATGGCAATAAAAAATCATAAAGCCAACAACCCACTAATAACACAAATTCAAAACTCTATAAATACACATATGACAATAAATAACAACAAGATAAAATTTGTGTGGATACCGAGCCACATAGGAATAGAAGGGAATGAAAAGGCCGATAAAGCTGCAAATCTGGCTCATCGCCTCCCTATCTCAAACATACCAATACCATACTCTGATATCAAGGTGATAATCAACCAATACATGGCATCGATGTGGCAACAAGAATGGAGCAAAAGCAAAAGCTTTCTAAGGAAATCAACGCCAAAAATTGAACCTAAGGGATCAAAGATAATAACTTGAAAGGCGATTCCAGACAGCGATAAATAGAATCAAGATTGGCCACACTAGATTAACACATACATGGATCCTTGAAAAAAAGACTCCTCCAAGGTGCGAAATATGTGGAACACAGCTCACAATTTTCCATATAATCAGAGTGCAAAAAATACAACCAACCCAGATCAGAATTCAATATTCCAGCAAATATGCAGGAAATTTTTTTTAAATCGGGAGAATATAAATAATTTAATAGGATATATTACAAAAATTGAACAAATTAACAAAATTTAAATTTAACACTATTAAACCGAAAGAATGAATGAGGGAAAGAATGAAGAAATGAAATAAAAGAAGATACAGGTGTGAAGATAGCCAGAATGTGCTGAAACGCCGTTAAAAACGCATCTCAACAACAACAATATTTACATTACTGTCTCGAATTTTGTTTGCATTGAGGCGCTAATGTAAAGTTTTGCCCTGATTCAAAATAAAATTCAGAAAGTTCAACTCTGAGCCCTGTCGGATAGCTTTGATCTGCGAAAGCCGAAACCGAAAGGGTACTGTTATTGTCCCTGCCTAATTTCTAACCTAACTTCATGGATTATCTAACAAAGGCCGTAAGTTGGATCGGTAAAAATGCGCCACCTAAAAAGGTTTCATCGACAATTTTACCCCCTAGCAATTTTAGGTCATTATTCACAATAATGAATAGTTGCGATCGTGCACTGGTCAGGGTTGCTGGAGTCTCTGGGGCCATTGCTGTTGTCATGGGAGCCTATGGGGCTCATGGTAGGTTGAATATTTTTTTTCATTTATTTTCATTGGTTTAATTTTAATTAAAACTATTTTTTCTCTTAAGTATTTATTTTATATATTGCAGAATATGAATGATCAAGAAAATATTATGTAAATGTGAAAATAGAAAATCTATCTATGCAATTAATACAGCTAGCTATTAAGTAGTTTATTTATTTAAGATTTAAATAAAATTAATTTAGTTTTGGTATTTTTAAGAATGTTTTTTAAAGAATATTGAAAAAAGTAACCCAATAATATAATTGTAATTTTTTAAAAATTTTCTTTCATAGTTTGTTTAGCATTAATTTTAAATTATAGTTATTCATTATTATAAATGAGTATTCAATTATTTGTAATTTTTATTCCTTACTTTCCTTACACAAAGTTTTCAGGCAGAAGCAAAGACCAGAGGAATTTAAAGTGGTAAAAGTCCTTTTTGAAACAGCATATTTTTTTGTCACACAAATTATCATTTACAAGAGGAAAATAACATTAAATAATAATTTATTAACATATTTATTTAATATTTATAACTATTTAAATGAAATAATATATATAAATATATTTGTTTCTTAAATTGGAATTAAAACAGGCCTACGAAACAGGGAATAGATATCATTTGATACATTCAGCAGTACTGTTAGCAGCACCACTTACCAGGAGACCACAGCTTGTATGTCTGCCTTCCTATACATACCTTTGTATACTTTTGTATATTTGTGTAAAACTTTGTATATCTTTGTATATGTGTGTATACCTTTATATATTTTTATATATCTTTATATATGTTTGTATACCTTTCTACATTTTTGTATGTCCTTGTATATCTTTTTCCATAAAATTCTAGTAAATTTTCTTACTAAAATTTTACATCACTCTAATCATCTTCATCACATTAATCTAATCATCGCCACCACCACCACCATCTTTTCACCGCCATCACCATCATCATAACCAGGTTGGGGGTCTGTTAATAGGGGGCATGTTATTGTTCTCTGGAGGTTGCTACATCTACTCCCTAACTGATAACCAGTGCATTAGGAAGGTCACACCTTTTGGTGGGTTGATGCTCATAGCAGCATGGGTTTGTATGGCTCTGTGAAAATCTTGATGGGGATTGTGATTGAAGATGAAGAATATGATGGTGATGAAAATGATGAAGAAGATGATGATGGTGAAGAAGATGATGATGGTGAAAAAGATGATGATGATGGTAAAGATGATGATGATGGTAAAGATGATGATGATGGCAATAAACATAATGTAGGTGATGTTGGAACTAGTTCATGTTTGTGTGTGTATCAATGTATGTACGTATGTTGTTTATTTTTATTATTGTTATGTTTGTCTTAACCATGACGTCATTTATGATGTAATGGTTTTTATTTCTTTTCTTTGTTACTGGTTTGTTTTCTTTCTTGTTTAAATTTAGTTCTAAACATTTTAGCCAAAATTATTTATATTATAACATAATAATAATAAATAATATTTATATTATAGCATAATAATAAAAAAAATAATAATATTTATTGTTTTTTGCGTTAACTGTATCAATGGTTGTCTATATTTAGAAATACTCAACTAGTTTCATTGTCTTTTGTTGTGTTATGTTAAACGTTGTACTTGTTCACAAAGCAATCAGCCAATCAAGATCGATTGTACCAATCGTATCAACCAATCATATCAATCAACTAATCAATCAGTTAACAAATAACTCATTTAAAGAAACCAGCCATTCAATTAAAAAGTCAAATTAAAGTAATGAGCATGGACATAGATGTTGTACTGGTTTTTCAGAATTGTTGGTCAAAGACAACAATCTTCGTTTGGCGTCCAAACGTCATCTTCGTTCTAAACATTTTGGCCAAAATTATTTATAATATAACATAATAATAAATAATAATAATATTTATATTATAACATAATAATAATAATATTTATGTTATAATCAATCTTCGTTTAACGTCCAGAGACCCAGTTCCCCCGAGGTAGGACGTTGTTTTCTTTGCCATCAATTTTTTTGCGCCAAATTAGACGATCAACCATATATATATATATATATATAACCATATATATATATATATATATATATATACACATATGTATATATATATATATACACACATATGTATATATATATATACTATTTTTTATATAAAAATAGAAAGAACAAGCTAGACGGAGGTGTTGGTATGTTCATAAAGCATGACATCATTTTTGTTGTGAATGATAACAGTGCATTTGATGATGAAAATATCGACGCTCTCCGTACATGCTACATCTAGGGGTGCTCCATTTATAATTCAATATTTATTTATAATTCAACCCTTATTTATATTATAACATAATAATAATAATAAATAATGATAATATTTATTATTGATAAAGATTCTTATTATTAATTAATAATCATTATTATTCATCATCGACAAAGACGACGAAAAAAGCATTAATCTACTCAATCAATCAATCAATTAACTATTTATTCAATCAATATAAGTTAGTCAGTCGAATTTCAATCAGTCGAATATTTAACCACTCAACTCAATCGTTCAACCAACCAACTAATAGTACATTGATGAGCAAAGCCATAAAATTAAGTAAAATGTAAATTAGTCAACGAACCAATTAATTAATTAATTAATTAATTAACAAACCAATCAAACATCCAATCAATCAATCAACAAAACAAACAAACAACCAATCAGTCTAAATTGACAGCGTATAGTCCAGACGTAATGATATATCTTATCCATTTATTGTATTGGTGTTGAGGTTGGCGGTGCCGTGTGACTGGTTGGTTGGCTGGTTGGTTGATTGAGTCTAGCATGTTGATTGAACTTATCTTCAGCCCACTCACTGACGACTTACCTGATAGCTCAAAGTCAATCAGTGCTTGCCCCAACAAAGGTGATGATGATGATGTCGTTGTTGATGGTGACGACGACGACGACGATGATGTCATCTGCTCTACCACCAGCTGTTCAATGTAGTACAAGTATTATTATTATTATTATAATTAGATCATAAATATAATTATATTAATAAATATTATAGTATCGTCATTGTAATACTCCACATCAATTATTGTATCATTACCATCATTTGAATTGATGCAATCATCATCATCAAATCATCATTATTATTATTATTATATTATTAATATTACGTTGTTTTTAAAACCTTGAACTTAACGCTGATTGGCTGGTTAACTTGTAAGGCACTGTTCAAATTCCAAATCAACTTGTTGTTGATGCTATGAGGTTGTTCTTCATTGATGACGTCATTATTGTGTTGCTCTTCGTCGTTTATGACGTCAAGATGATTTTGTTGTTTACTGTTGATATTGTCTTGTTTGGCGTTGAGGATTTCATCAGTTTGAATGCAGCCACGCTGTCGTTCGTTGATGATGTCACCATCATCAGTAGGTTGCCGTTGTTGCTTACTGTCGACGATGACGTCATTGTTTTGTTGTTTGTTGTTGTTGCAGTGAACCAATGTGTATTGTTGTTGTTGTGATGGTTGATTTTCAAATGTGACTCTACATTACGTGGGGTGCAAATACAATGAGTTTATCTTCATTCGTCGTCACCATAATTATCATCATCATCATCATCATAATAATAATAATTGTTATTATTATTAATTCATAATTATCATATTCACTGGTGAGTAACTTATTATACGTTGTGCTGCATTTTTAGTCAGTAACTGGACGACAACAACAACGACATAAGTACAAGGCACAACATTCCCACAATCGTCATCACAACCATCATCACCATTGCGATCATCATCATCATCATCACAGTCATCATCATCATTGCAATCATTATCATCATCATCATCATAGACACAATCATTATCATCATCATTACAATTATCATCATTACAATCATCATCAACGTCATTAAAAATGAAAAAGAAGTCTTCACTCACTCTTTCACTAAAGTTGAGAGAGGAATCGATACAACACACTTAACTACCTTCATACTACTACTACTACTACTACCACTTTTATTATTATTATTGTTATTATTATAGTTGTTATTATTATTATTATGGCCGTTGAATGTTAGTGTCAGTGAAACCGATACATCCCTGATATGACAGTGAATATTATCATATTTATCATCATCATCATCTTATATAAGTATTTTCATCATCATAATCATTACTATATCATCATCATAATCCTCCTCATTGTCGTCGTCGTCTTTATCGTGATCATCATCATCATCATCATCATCATCAACACTACAGACCAGCTAGCTTGTGCAGTTCATTTCACCATATAAGTACTACTACTACTACTACTAATAATAATAATAATGATAACAAATAAAAATTATAATAATAATGATAATAATGATTACTTTGAGTTGGGGATGCTAGTTTGTTTGCAAGCTAATGTGAAAGGTGGTTGTTGTTGTTGCTGTTGATGCCCATTCATTTGCTTGTAGTACGTCATGACGATGTGCTGGAGTGAGTGAGTGAATGAGTGAGTGAATGAATGAGTGATTTCTTTTAATCATTTAATTTCATCAATGCTTACTGTTACAATCATCGTCGTCGTCATCATC